ATTGAAACGCAGTGCTATAAGCGAAAGCAGAGAGCACGCCGCACTTTACTATATACTCAATACTATACAATAAATAAACACACAGTTCGTAATACTTTCATAATACATAAGCTATAATAACTAAACTGATCTGTTTTGTGTAATTATTATATATGTTAGTTTTGACGAGTTTGAAATGATAAAGTTTAATAGACTGCTATATAATATTCGCCCAAATCAATTAAGGACGTATGCTGGTTATGGACAAATACTTGCTGGCAGAAAGAATAAACGTCGCTCTATGCTTTCCAAGTTGATTGATAATAAAGATAAAAAGTTGGTACTCATTTCTAAATCCTTTTATACAAGTTTTGAACTCTCGAGCTTTTCCCCCCTCTTTATTTATTGTAATTATAGAATATTTATATGCACATCAAATTAGCTTTACTTTTGTTAACTACAATATATATCTATTTTTAAACAAAATTTTTACAATTAATAATGTTTTATTTCTTGATTTTTAGCAATAAGAAAAACAATAATGTATCATTACCTGTTCCAAATACCTTTGCCCATCAGCTGCAGGGACCATCTTGTGATGGAATGCAAGAAACTTTTATCAGCATTTTTCTATTATAGATACAAAAAATGTGGTTAATACTTCAAATATTTTTTTTTATCAGAGAAATATCTATAGCATTTGGGTAAAATATCCAGTTAATATTACACATAAATGGTATTTCTAAGGGCATTGCACTGTTTTTCTTTTTGCTAGACTTATAATACTATTCTTTTCTAGTTTTAAAATACACTATTTCTGTTAGAAAAGAATTGTGGCAGAATCGCAGCGACATTGTCACAGAAACGTTTCTTTAGAAAGTAAAAAATGTTGGTTCTCTTTCTTTAAAATTATACTTAAAAGAAGCCTTTTTCGCGCATCGGAGGAGAAAGAAATGTTCATAATTTTTCGATTCTTATTTAATAAAAATGAAAAATAAAGAGCGTTGAAACAAAAAATTTTCTTCTGCAAAAATTTTTGAAAGATTTTTTTTCCTTTCAGAGGGGAAGAATACTCGTGATTTTTTGATTTTGGTTTTCTTTTCTTTCACTGATTTTATGATTTTTAATTATTTTTTTTATGTGATGAGGATTTACAAAATGCCAAAAAAGAAATAATTAGTGTGTTATTTCTTTTACAAAATGGGACAATATTGCCGAGATATTAGAATATAAAAAATATTGCATATTCATTTTTAAAAAAATACATAAAGTTTTTGTCATGTATTTAGCCGTTCAAGGCTATGTTTACGAACTATCACGCCTACGCAATCGAATCGGGACTTACCCTCTAAAAGTTTCAGTTTAGTTTTCTTCACCTGTTGGTGTTGTATTATAACGCATCTTCTGTATTCTAAATGTTTTAAATAATTAATAAATAGTGTTATTTAAGAGTGTTATTTCCTGAACCCCCACGCTATGGGACAGTACAATTTTATTATACCCTAATAGGTTTTTCTTTGTGAATACAACAGGGTTGGGGTTTTGGACGTCCTTAACTGGTTTTGGACAGGACACGTGGGTTTTACTGTCTTAAACTGGGTAAAACTGTCCTAAGCTGGGTAAAACTGTCCAAAATGTTGAACTTTGGTAAAAGGTAAAAATTCTATAGGTGTAACCATTGTACACATAATAATTACATGTATCAATAAATATTTGATATTTTTTATACAATTTACTTTAACTTATCAAAAGAAAATTAATATAATATAATAGGAAAAGGTTTATAATTTTTGAATCTCCATAATTCATTGAACAACAAAAGTGAATGCCTAATCCTTTAAATATAAATATGCATTTAATACTGATATATAATATTTTTGCATAAGGATAAATAACGCAATATGAAAAAATAATATTTTTTTTTAAAAAATGCTAAATTTGTTTAAAAATGAACCTTTTATTTTTCACAATATTTTTTTAAAAAAATGTTATAATTTCTGCATCACAGGATGATAAAAAAGACATCTATTTTTAAAAAAACTGTTTTTAAATATAAATATATTAGTTTAGATTGAAAATACAAAATAACTGAAAAATGTATTAACAGTTTTGAAATGCATAACATCAGTTTCAGTTACTGACACTGGTGATGTATCACCACTATGCTAAAAGAATTGAACATGAATGAAATAACAGTATTCTTGAATAGTACTATAGGTAAATAAACCTGTTTATGACTAACCAAGCACATAGTTCCTAATAGCTTAACCTGTATGGAAAGGTCCAGCTTCAGTTATGTACTATTGAATGAGAGGACCAATTGAACTTGATCCTACTGATTAATCTTCCTTTGTTTAATGTTTAAATTGGAGAATCAAACAATATTAATAAAACATTATACTTTTAAAAACAAATATTATATAGTAGATTTAATTATCAATATGTTATTAGCTCTATGTTTATTTTACCTCTTAAATATTGTTCAGATAAAATTGTGACATATTTTGAGTAAAAGGGTTTTGGACAGGACGGTTTAAACCGTGGATTAATCCATTCTGTCCTAAACCTTGCCAACCCTGGAATACAACATTCCTGTTACTTTAAATGTCATTAATAACATATGCATTATTTATTATTAAAAGTATCTTGCTGAAAGATATTAGCGCTAGAGAGGTTTGTCGCAGAATGCCAAAAAATTCTGCCACAGGGAATAAAATAATGTTTACTCTGATCATAATTATTGCTTATCATAATTCTTTATAGCTGTATTCCATGATTAATTCTAATCCTGACAATTTGTAATTAAAATTATGATCTAAGTACTGGATTAATAATAAATTTTTTTAAGCTCGGCTATGTGCTTAATCTTTTTTTCTTCTTCTCTTCATATTTTGTTACTTAATTTTTTATGCATACTTTCAGCAAAAAATGGTATTTGAATTTTATGTAAAAGGTGAGTTACTTTCCCCTTTCATATTATTCAGTTTACTAAATATATAAGATCAGTGATTCTGCTATACTTTAGAAATTGTGGATCTTTAGGACTTCCATCCTTCTGGGTCTCTTTATATTATAATCGGGAGTTCTATTTAAGATAAATTTAATTTACGCCAAAGGAAATCCATAAAATTCTACTTATTTTATACCAATGTGATGAAGGTTACAACATGACATGCGATGGTATATGATAATCTCTGATAGACAGGATTTATTATCCATGAAATAACAATGAGAAACAATAACAGGGTGGCCACTCAAATCAGATTTCAAATTTCCCTGATTTTTCCAGGTTTTCCAGATAGCAACGCGCATACTGGAACG